ATTTACAATTATTACATGTATTATTATATTATGTATATGTGTATTTATAATCATTCAATATTTCTTATAGGAAGAAAAACAAATACAATATGGAAATTACAAAAAAAGTCAAAAAGAAGAAATAGCAAGTATTTCAGAAATCATTTCGGAAAATCCTTTACTTGCTTACAAGTACAATGTTATTGAAAAACCTGGCGATGCTTTACTCGATGAACAAGATTTCAAAGAGGTATTATTTCATTTTAAATAAATATATATATCTCTTAATTTTTAATTATATATATATATATATAATATTTTTCTTTTATATATACATAAATGTTATATATATACAGCTAGTGCACTTTTCTAGTAGTGCTGAAGTTTTACGATCAACCGTTAAGTATGTTGGTAAAACAAAGAATTATACGCGAGAAGGTAAGAAATTGTTCATAGTTTTTAAACTAGATATATATATATATATATATATTGGATTATTTTTTTTATTAATAATAATTAAAATTACTTTACTTAATTTTTTCCAGACGTTGACCGATTATTATCCCATAATGGACGTGACGAAGATAAATACGATGCTTGGAAATCCTGGCACGAGGAATTGATACCACTTGTTGGAAATTTTTCTAATATTTTACAATTAGTTGATAAAGCTGCAAAAGCGAACGGTTGATTTTCTTTTTTATTTAAATATATCGATTGTACAATGTGTGATATAAATTATTATTTATATATTAACTAAATTATTATATTTCAGGTATCAACAGCGTTGTAGAATATTGGGAAATGTTATCAGGATATCCAGAAGGTTACGAACAAATCAAATCGCAATGGAATGGAATAATAAATCTTCATAAAAATATTTTAGAATTTTCACGAAATCATTTATCTCAAAAGTATGGGATTAATTTAACCGAAAGAATACCGGCTCATTTACTTGGTATATATATATATATATTATATTATACTTGTATAAGAATAATTCAATTAAATAATAATACATATTTATATTAATGTTATTTATCAGGTTCGTTACAAGGATACGATTGGAGTACTTTTTCGATAGATATATTACCATATTCGGAAATAACATTTGATATAAGAAAGAATTTATGGAAAAAAGTAAAATATATATTTTTTGTTAACATTAAAATCATTTGTAATTATATTATATATAATTGATATACAATTATAGATTTATTGAATATATTTTAGTGTATTTTTAAAACGTTGTTAAAATTCTACAGAAACTATTAGGAAAATCTTTATATAAAGCAGCATCTAATATGGGTAGTATATTATTAGGTCAAGTACCACAATCTGATTTTTGGAAAAGAAGTGAATTTCATCAGCATTGTCCACCTAAGCTAGTAAACTTTTGCAAATATGGAATTACACAGTAAGAAAATTGATTATATATCAAATAAAACAATGTTGTATAATTTTTATATAAATTTTTACTAAAATAAATTAGTAATTATTATATTATACTCTATAAAAATAATGACATAAAACTCATATTTTAATTTTAGAATATCCACATGTTTCGAGCCAACTATTACAAACTATATTTTAACACATAAAAATATTGGAAAAATTCTGTTTCAACAAATGTCTGTTGAAAGAACTCCAATTCTCAACACGGCAAACAGATATTCTGGTAATTATTTATAATATCCTCTTAATATTATTAATTAAATTATAACTTACACACAAAATATCAAAAAAAGATATATATTAACAATACGATATATTTTCAAACAGCTTTGGAAGAAGCCTTATCTGAATTGTTTGGAATTTTATCTGCTAGTCCAGTATGGTTACAACGTAATCATTTGATTTATAATGTAAGCGATTCAGATCAAAAAATTGTTTCTTTGATGATTACTGCATTAGATGTGTTGCCAAGATTAGCATACTATATATCTGCAGATTTGTGGAGGATCAATGCTATAGAAAACAATATTACAGATTCAGCAGAATTAATAAAATCATGGTGGAAATATAGGTATGTTCTAATATATAATTTAATAATATACATATATATATCTTGCCTATGATTTAAATATATTTAATTTCTATCACATAGGTCAGAATATGAAGGAATTAGTAAACCTGAATCTATTGATTTACCAACATTTTTAAACGATGAATATATTACAAGTAATAAGCCATATCTTTCGTAAGTAACATTACAATATTACAATAATCTCTTTATTATATTAAATAATAATAATAATATATATGTATATATTTTGTTTATTGTAGTAAATTTGTTGGAATAATTCTTGGATTTCAAATTTATGAAGATATTATGAAATCAACTGAAGTTAGATACGATATTAATACAAAAAAAGTCTATTCAAATTTAATGTACGTATGATTATTTATTTGATATATATATAAAATCGATATTAATATATAATTAATATATATCGAATTTGTTATATTTAGAAAACTAATTCATCAAGGATCAGCAGAAAGTTGGATGGATGCATTGGACAAAGTTCTTGAAATGGACGATATATCGAAATATTCTCTTACATCTTTTTTCTCACCGTTAGAAAGTTTTATTGAAGAAATGAATATGGAAGATAATGATCTTAATTTTCAATCTAATGACGACGCTGAACTTGAAGAAATCGAACGAATGATTATCAAAGAAATTAATACACCAACCACAACAACACCGAGTACAACTACAACAACAAAAATCCATACAACTACGTTCTCGATAAAAAATAAATACCCATCGGAGAAATTAAATGATTTATCAAAATCTAAGAAACCATTAGATTCTGATTTATCTTCTAATATTCAAGCTGATAAACCAAAAAGTGATACAGACTCTGTAACCGTAAATCCTTTTGAAAAATCATTTGACTTCAGTGATTTAGAAAAGCAAGATGAACAAAAACCAAAGACACATACCAGTACAGCAGTATGGATTGTTGCAGCTGTTCTTATTGCAACAATAATTATATGTATTATCGCGATATTTGGTAGACAAAAATGTCGCAAAACATCCAAAAATAGGCGCTACGTTTAACACTATTTTATCAACGATATAATAGAATATTCTTTCTTCTTATTTTTTTTTGTTTTTCTTCTCGCATTTAGCACATAAGTATCTTTGGAATCATATAATTTATTTATCACATAAACAAAAAAAATATCTATTCGCTAATAGATTAAATTTGTAACTTTTGAATAATTTCATACAAACACATTCCTTAATTGTCTTTTTTTATTTATTTTTTTTTTCTTCTCTAAAAGAAAATTTTCAAAGATTTAACATATCTCTATTTATTTTTCACAATTCTATTATAAAATATTATTTTAATTATATATGAAATATATAAAAAATATGATTATGCGATAAAAATTTGGAACTTCTGGCAAACTAATTTGATATATCTGGAAATGATATATATATATATTGCATTACATATGTGTGCATATATAAACAAAAAATAATTAACCGATACACAATGGGATACTAAAAAAATACTACGACATCAAAGAATAAATGTAGAACTCGAAGTTAGTATCTATTTCTCTATAAAACATAATTTTAATAAGTTTATAATTGTAGCTTGATGTTAGAACTACAAATTAATAGTGCTAACCTTATAATTTATTTATAATATAGATTTTTCCATTTCAATGTTAATTTTAATGAAGAATTACACAAAAGTATATATTCACGTAATTCTTATAATTTAATAAATCAGTTCCTCTATAGAAGTCATTCTATAAATATAGTTTCATATATTAAATATTAAGGAAATAAAACGCACAATGTTTTAATATATTTGTAAACTTTGTAAATAACTACTAGTACGGTATAGATAAAAAGAAAAGATAAAAGAAAAGAATATAAATGAATATTTCAAAATAATTATAATAACAAGAATAACTTTTTAGATTACAAAATATTATATTATACAAAAGATTTTTTTTATAAATATCTAAATTGTGTAATATGCAAAAATTATAATTTATTCATAATATACCAATTATTAGAGGAGATTTATATTTTTTATATAATTATTTATTTTGTATCCAAAAATGAAAATATCAATGAAAAGAGTACTAGTACAAATAAAAATTAAACTTTACAAATACTTAATGTTATAGTTAATTCATTTGAACCTATATTGTTATAGAAACATATAAAATAACAAATTTAATGATTTCACTTTTTTTTTTCTATCAAGATTATTAATTATATATAAAAATAATATAAAATAAAACATTTTTTTGTAAACTAAAGAGACATTTCTTTTTCTAGGTTACATTATCCCATACTTATGAAATTCTTCTATTTCATATATATATATTCTTTTTTATTCTTATCACATATAAATAATTGTTATTTAATGATTAATTTTTAATTAATCTTACCTTCAAATTAATAAATTTCAATGGAAATAGATGAGATTTAATTTCTTGTCACGAAGATTGATAATCACTACATACAATTAAGAAATTCAAATTTTTCGGTAAGAAATCGTTAATTTTGTCAACCAATCAGCGTCGATGTTATACATATCGCGATTAATCGATACTTGCACTTCGTCTTTGAAATTGAAAAGAAAAAGTTAAATATCATAATATTCTTCTTTTCTCTAACAAACATTAAATATTTATAATTATTATTTGAAATATATCAAATTCTAATTAAATTATGTGTTAATTTTATAATAAAAATAGAAATTAAATTAAATATAAGCGTGTGATAATTATTCTCATTATATAAAATTGAATTTTATTATATATTATACAAGAAAATATTTCTCGACAAATGTATACAATTTAAAATTTCTTTTTTTTTTTCAATTATAATTATATCTCGTATCTACTTGTGATATAAAAAAAGAATCAAAGTATACGAAGAAGTAGGAACTTCCGGTTTCGAAACATCAAAGCTAGAAAAATCAATATAAAGCCGTCTTGTAATCGCGACACTATTTCGTGCCACCTTTAAGAGAAGTTAAAATAAAATAGTAAAATTATAACAAAACAAAAAGGAACAATCTTATTTATAATATTAAAAAATAAATATCTCTCTCTCTATGTTTATATCATCCACTTAGGATATCTTTTTATTAAATGAACTGAAACAATATTTAATTAAATAAGAATCTGTAAAACTAAAGTATTTTATATTAAATATTGTATAAACTTTTTTTCCATAATATATAATTGATATTTGTTTAAATAAATGATAAATTAAAATAAAAGAAATAAAATATTATCATAATTTTCAATAAATTACCAACAGATATATTACATATAAGAAATATATAATTTAACACACCGAGATATAAATAATTATTCATTTTAATATGAAAACACATAACAATTATATTTTATAATAATTATCAATTTCTTGATATTACTTTTTTTTTAATCGTAACTTTCGTAACGTTTTAAATAAAACGTAAAAAATATATATATATATATAAAAGGGGTTGAAAATTAAGGGTAAGAAAAAAAAGAAGATTTTTATAAGATTTATATAAAAACAAATATATATATATATAGAATAATCGTAAGAAAACGTGATCGTGCAAACCACCCCTTCTTTCTTTCTTACTTTTTTTCTTTCTTTCTTTAGTGGGGCCGAAAAACATTATCAACCCGAAATCTAGGCATGCGCGTTTGGTATTAAACAAGAGGGTAGTTGCAGTCAGGGAGGGACTCTCTTTCCTCCTCTCACCAGAGTTTACTCAGAGAGAATACACGTTCTCGAAAGCATTTCCCAGGGTAAGGAATTTTCCTTACTAAGTTACCTCTATCATGTGAATAATTCGATAATAATAATAATATTAATATTAATCCACGAATATAAAAAAAAAAAAAAAGAAAAAGAAAGAAAAAGAAAAATGGGAGAAATGGGAAAAATGGGAAAAATGTTGCTGCATGTCAGTGAAATAAAATGTTTTACGAAATGTTATCAATATGTCGTATAATTTGTGTAAGTGAGTGTTTCGTGTATCAACTGTCAGCTGTATTTAAAACATGAACGTAAGTATACCAAGATTTTTCCCCTCTCTCTCTCTCTCTCTCTCTCACTTCACTCATTCTATCTCTCTCTCTCTTTCCCATCTTACCTTCTCTGATATCGACTGGTTCTACTTGCTGGGTTTTATCATGTGGGCGTTTCTGTGTCCTTGTGTGTATTAACAGATTCATGTGAGAATAATAAGTATTAAGTATTATTTTTTTTTTCATTGTGTTTTTCAATTTAATAAATGTATATATTATAATTAGAATTTAATTGATTTAATATTACGTATATATTATTATTGTATTATGATTATAAATAATTTTAACACGATTGATTTTCGTATCGTGTTTTCTTTTTTTCTCTATTTTTTAATAATCAATATTTGTTCTATTATTTTCACGGGGGTGTGTGTGTAAATAATATTTTCAAGAAGATTAGTGTTACTTTGTAAAATGTATTTTTTTGAATATTATAGTTTTATGAACGTAATACGTCGTTGACCCTTGAACACTGAAAATCGATGAGAAAGTTACCTTTAATCTCGTCACCGATGTGCGCGCCTTTTAATGTTATATTCAGTTGAAAATAATCATTTTTTTTTTATTCGTAAAACACAATGTACGAACTGTTTTTTTTTTTTTTCATTTGTTTTAATTTCTTTTCTTTTCATTACATTTTCTTTATTTTATTTTATTTTATTTCTTTATTTATTTTCTTAACCCATAGAAAATGTAACGATTGTATTACCATGCCAAGAAATATTAGAAATCGTTAGATTCACAACGCGCAATATGCGTTTATCGATTAGAATGTCAACTTGATAGAATTTGATTTTTCCCATAATTCCCTTGAAAGAAAATTCAATGATTAATATATATCTATTTAACATAGAGATATTAGTATTATTTTTTTAAAATAAGAAATAAATTT